AAAAGAAATCGATTGGACCCGGAAGACTGTATCCATATTGCTCTGACATCAAAATGTCCCAATATTGATGATCTCGTATCCAAGATGAAGCAACATCATTTCTCCAAAACCTGAAGTTTTCAAGTAAGTTGAAGCTTTCAAAGTAATTTTAAATACATCCAATAACATTTTGAATTCAAATAGTGTATGATTTCCTTCCTTTCAAATCAAGGGGGTAACGTCGGCGTTTATAAATTTTTTGGGGGGTAAAAGGTAAAAAAGTTCCCTGACCCCTGCCCTACACTATTTCTGACAGATGGCAGTCCAATCTCTTCTTGAAAGTCTCAACTGATGGCGCTCCCACAATTTCCGAGGGCAAGCTGTTCCATTGGTTGATTGTTCTCACTGTCAGAAAGTTTCTCCTTATTTCCAGGTTAAATCTCTCCTTGTACAGTTTCCATCCATTATTCCTTGTCTGGCCTTCAGGTACTTTAGAAAAAAGCTTGAATCCTTCCTCTCTGTGGCAGCCCCTTAAATATTGGAAGACTGCTATCATGTGTCCCCTGGTCCTTCTCTTCACCAGACTAGCCAAGCCCAAATATATATATAATTTTCTCCTAAGATACCGAATGGAAGAGGAAGTGGTAAAAGAGATCATGATAATTTGGGTGAAAAATTTTGGTTACAGCATTAATTTGGAAGATTGGGAAAAATTATGGGAAATAAACTATAAACTAACTCTATCAGCAGCATACAAAATGTTTTACTGTTGGCATTTACCCCCAGCAGGATTGGCTAAGATGTTCCCTAATAGATCAGCAAATTGTTGGAAATGTAATTATAAACAGGGAACCTATTTCCATATGTGGTGGATATGCCCTCAAGCTAAAAATTATTGGTTTAAAATTAGGAAATGGCTGGAGGAAATTACAAAACAGAAAATTGAATTGAGACCAGAGACATTCCTATTGGATGTATTAAGAGATAAAATAAGAAACTCCAATATATTATATTACATATAATAACTGCAGCTAGAATAGCCTTTGCCCAGACTTGGAAAAGTGACAGCATTCCCTCTGATATTATGATAATAAAAAAGGTTTCAGAGTGTGCAGAAATGGATAGGCTTTCAATGGAAATGAAGGAGAGAGAAGAAACAGAGTACTACGAAATTTGGAATTTATGGTATAATTGTCTGCAAGGCAGACACAAATAGAGAGATGAAATGAAAGATTATGGTGTGATGAAATAACTTGGTATGAATAGGCATAACTATGTATACTTGTCTATAAATATGTAAATAACTATGTAAATACAGGTGAAACTCAAAAAATTAGAATATTGTGCAAAAGTTCATTTATTTCAGTAATGCAACTTAAAAGGTGAAACTAATATATGAGATAGACTCATTACATGCAAAGCAAGATAGTTCAAGCCGTGATTTGTCATAATTGAGATGATTATGGCTTACAGCTCATGAAAACCCCAAATCCACAATCTCAGAAAATTAGAATATTGTGAAAAGGTTCATTATTCTAGGCTCAAAGTGTCCCACTCTAATCAGCTAATTAAGCCATAACACCTGCAAAGGGTTCCTGAGCCTTTAAATGGTCTCTCAGTCTGGTTCAATAGGAATCACAATCATGGGAAAGACTGCTGACCTGACAGTTGTGCAGAAAACCATCATTGACACCCTCCATAAGGAGGGAAAGCCTCAAAAGGTAATTGCAAAAGAAGTTGGATGTTCCCAAAGTGCTGTATCAAAGCACATGAACAGAAAGTTATGTGGAAGGGAAAAGTGTGGAAGAAAAAGGTGCACAAGCAGCAAGGATGACCGCAGCCTGGAGAGGATTGTCAGGAAAAGGCCATTCAAAAGTGTTGAGGACTTTCACAAGGAGTGGACTGAGGCTGGAGTCAGTGCATCAAAAGCCACCACACACAGACGGATCCTGGACATGGGCTTCAAATGTCGTATTCCTCTTGTCAAGCCGCTCCTGAACAACAAACAACGTCAGAAGCGTCTTACCTGGGCTAAAGAAAAACAGAACTGGTCTGTTGCTCAGTGGTCCAAAGTCCTCTTTTCTGATGAGAGCAACTTTTGCATCTCATTTGGAAACCAAGGACCCAGAGTCTGGAGGAAGAATGGAGAGGCACACACTACAAGATGCTTGAAGTCCAGTGTGAAATTTCCAGTCTGTGTTGATTTGGGGAGCCATGTCATCTGCTGGTGTTGGTCCACTGTGCTTCATTAAGTCCAGGGTCAACGCAGCTGTCTACCAGGAGATTTTGGAGTACTTCTTGCTTCCTTCCACAGATGAGCTTTATGGGGATGCTGACTTCATTTTCCAGCAGGACTTGGCACCTGCCCACACTGCCAAAAGCACCAAAACCTGGTTCAATGACAGTAGGATTACTGTGCTTGATTGGCCAGCAAACTCGCCTGACCTGCACCCCATAGAGAATCTATGGGGCATTGCCAAGAGAAGATGAGAAACATGAGACCGAACAATGCAGAAGAGCTGAAGGCCACTATTGAAACATCCTGGTCTTCCATAACACCTCAGCAGTGCCACAGGCTGATAGCTTCCATGCCACGCGGCATTGAGGCAGTAATTGCTGCAAAAGGGGCCCAAACCAAGTACTGAGTACATATGCATGCTTATACTTTTCAGAGGTCCGATATTGTTCTATGTACAATCCTTGTTTTATTCATTACATGTAATATTCTAATTTTCTAAGTTACATGTAATATTCTAATTTTCTGAGTTACATGTAATATTCTATTTTTTTGAGTTTCACCTATATATGAAAATATGACATAAATCAAATGTAAAATAATTGTAATATTTTGTAATATTCTATATACTTAATATGTCAGAGTGAACACTACTACAAATATGCTGCAATGAATGGAAATATGTTTTTAAATTGTTTTTTAATTGTAGAATTTGTTTAATAAAGTTTTTTAAATATTACAAAAAGAAAAAAAAGAAAGTATGTGGGGTGAACTTAAGAGGGCTGTGCACAGGAGATGCCATCAGAATCTGACATACTGTATTTTGCAAGGAAGAGTGGGCAAAGATTCCCAAGGCAAGATGTGCCATGCTGATAGGCTCCTACCGCAAAAGACTGAATACTGTCATAAAATCAAAAGGTGATTCAACAAACTATTAGTTTAAGAGTGTGCATACTTATGCAATTTTTAGTTTTATTCCCCCCCCAAAAAAAGATTTGTTTTTCATTTGAATTGTACAGCTTTTAGGTTATACTGAAGGTGGAAAAAAATCAAATGATTTATCTTGGTCTGATTTTTTACATCTCAAAAACCTGGTACTTCAACAGAGGTGTGCAGACTTTTTATATTCAATGCATCCACCACTGTGGGAGCTCTAATCTAGTCTTGACTGCTGTCATATAACCCAATCTGCTGGTTTTTAACCTGCAGCTGTCAGAGGATCCAGGTAAACAATACTTATCCAGATGTACTCCACTTTTCAAGGAACAGTTATACTCAAAACTGGCATGAGAAATACACTGAGCTGCAGCAGAAGGCAAGCTAATTTTTACCTTTCAGGGGAAGGAAGAAAAGCAACAAGATGATTTTGAGACACTAGGAAAAGGATGGGGAATTGGAAAAACTGATGACTGATACTATTAAGCTCTAAGACAGGGGTGTCAAACTCAAGGCCTGTGGGCTGCATCCAGCCCGCGGGGTGCTTAGATCTGGCCCATGGGGCCACCCTGGAAACAGCAAATGACTGGCCCCCAGTGCCTCTGCCAGCGAAAAAAGAGCTTTCACACACAGCCCTCCTGAGCTCTGTTTTCACTGGCAGAGGTTTGCAGGAGGCAGGTGCAGCCGAAAACGGAGCTCAGGAGCCCATTTTCACTGGCAGAGCGCTTGGGCCACCACAGGTGCCCCCTCACCCTACACACACGTGATGTCAAGCTCGTCACACACACCCTGGCCACACACACCCAGGTCAAACACAACCCTGATGTGGCCCTCAATGAAATTGAGTTTGACACCCCTGCTCTAAGACAATCACTTAAACAGCATTGGGAGTGGTTTAGGATAGTGCCTGCAGGAGTAGAAAGCTAGAGTTCCTGAGCCTCTAAGAGAGATGGGCAGCATATAAGCTTAATAACTTTAACTTTGGTCACATTTTGTTCAGGCCATTAGTGACAGAGAGAAATCTATTCCAAGTTAATCATATCCCTGCCACAGATTTCAATGGGATTACTTCTTCGCTATTTTTCAGCTAAGTTCTCAGCTCACTAAAACACAAAGTAGTATACTGCAACAAGATCCAAGACTGTAGGTGGAGATACCTTATCAATATTACACTTTTTAATCTTCTGTAAGGTAGGCTAAGCTAAAAAGCGGAAGAGCACCAGGTCCCTCACTGAGTTTTACGGTGGAATGGAGATTTGAAGCAAGCCCTTACTTGAAACTTTTTTCCCGATCCCACCCCATTTCATATTAGACCTGTGAAATTATTATGAATCAATTTGAATTTTAGCCGCCCAACTCCAATGGACTCCAGGCAGTGAAATGGCCCACCCAAATCGGATGTGAACGGGCTTCGGAGTTGCTTTATTTTCTTCGTTTAGATTGGGCCGAGGGAAAGCGATTTGCCAGGGGAGGAAAGCCACCATCCATCTCTTATAGCCTGGCAACACGACATGGTAGAAAACCTTACGCCTCTCTAAGCACCACAAAACACCGACCCGCCTTCAACTTTCCCCAACGTGACACCCTCCAGACCTAGGGTGGGGCACATAGAGCCGAGAGATGATACAAGGTGAAGCCTCACATATGTATGAGGGAGACACGGTGAAGAAGGCTGGCTGCAATCGGGGCCATCCCACCCTTCGCCCCTTGCTCCACCCGCCAAACCATCACGCCGTTCGCTGATTTGTCTCCACACGCAGTGTAACTCGACCACCACTATCCTCACACGCCTCCCCCGCCATCGCTTCAGTTTCCCCTTCTGACCAAAGGCCCTTTTCGCCTCCTTCACCTGCACTTTCTGCCGCCCCGCCGTAGTCTGTCGGTGATGAACCGCCATCTTACATGTTGACACTGCCGTCATGACCGAGAAGCTTAAACCGACCCGGAAGTCCCACCCTTCTTTAAAAGTCAGGCACAGAGGCGTGATGGAGTGGGAAATGGGCTTTTAATGTATGGGTGCGTTTTGCATGGTTGCTAGAGCAGCGGTGGTCCCAAAGGTGTTTTTCTAAAAGGCAACTGGACTTTCGGGGGGGGGGGTTTCCTTTGAAAATGTTTCGCTTTTGGAAAAACACCTTTGAGACAACCATGACCAGGATGACTGAGAATTTCCACAGGCATATAGCAGCGGTTATTGTGAAGCCGCGCTCGATATTTTTGTTTGTCACGCGATATTTGGACAGGACGTTATCGACTGCAACAAGCGGGCATGTTGCTCTTGGTCAACCCCGCAGTCCTCACAATTAGCATAAGAGCCCTGTCACGGAGGAGGAAGAACTTTTGACGAACCTCGACCTATCAGCTCACCAGATAGGGCCCTAACCCGTTTTCTGACGAACCTCAACCTATCACCAGATAGCCCCCCCCCCCAGCAGGGCCCCAACCCAGGTGCAGATTAACCTCAAACAAAATCTACACCGAAAAATAAGGGACGTGGTTACATTGAGAGCTCTCAGAAATATTTTAACGGGTGGGGGAAGCTCCTCCCCGCAAAGAATGAACTACTTCGGGGAATATTAAAATAAGCAGGATATATTTCCCCAAAGGGAAAAAAATTGAAGAAACATGCTCTTAAAAGACAAAGCAGACTCAGTCTTAATAGCCTACAGCAGATGCCCATTCAGAAATCCTGGGCCAGCCTATTCACAAAAAAGGGTGGGATTCAAATTTCTTAACAAAAAGGTTCTGTGGGTGCGGCTTAATTTGTGGGTATGGCTTGGTCATGTGACTGGCTGGGCATGGCCAACTCAACATCACTCACATGGAGGGGAGCTTCTCCTTGCCTGGCCTTGTGACTGGGGATGCTGCAACCGTCGTAAGTGTGAAAAATGGTCATAAGTCACTTTTTTCAGTGCCACTGTAACTTTGGTCACTAAATGAACTGTTGTAAGTCAAAGATTACCTGTACAAAAATACAAAAATCTTCTTTGCTTGCAAAAAGCTGCCCTAAATACCAATCATTAGATTAAAAATACCTGCAAGCCGGAGTTACAAGTCAGGCAGGGTGCCAGAGCACCTTGAGGAATTAAAATAGTTAAAATGCAATTGTCAGCTTTGGAATCCTTATAAAAAGCTGCCACACAGCTGTGGAGGATGGAAGGGGGCAGTTGTTGTTTGAGTAGCTTTCAGCAGGGGTGGGATTCAAATTTTTAACAACCGGTTCTGTGGCCATGGCTTAGGTGGTGGGTGTGGCTTGGTGGTCATGTTATTTCAGCAATAGAGTGGTCAATGTCATTTACTTCAGCAATAGAGTGGTCAATGTCTGGAATACTCTACCCGACTCTAGTTTCTTCCCCAAACCCCAAAAACTTTAACCTTAGACTGTCTACTATTGACCTCACCCCTTTCCTAAGAGGTCTGTAGGGGGCGTGCATAAGCGCACCAACGTGCCTACCGTCCCTGTCCTATTGTTTCTCTTATTCTTGTTTTATTTTTCTTATATGTACCCATTTCATGTATTCACAACTATGTATACACTTATACTTATTATCTTGTAAACAATTGGCAAATCAAATAAATAAATAAATAAATAAATAAATTGGCTGGGTGTGGCCAACTCAATATCACTCACATCGAGGCACGCATCTCGCCTGGCCTCTCATGACTGTGGGGATGCTGCAACAGTCGTAAGTGTGAAAAATGGTCATAAGTCACTTTTTTCAGTGCCATTGTAACTTTGAATGGTCACTCCACACAAGCAAAGTACCAGCAAAGGAGGGGGAAAAAACTCCAGAGACATTCCTGAGACAGGATGTCTAGTCCTGCCAAGAATGTAATAAGGGTTAATGAAGAGGCAGTTTCTGTAAGCAACACCAGAATGTTTCTTTCCTGCCTTCCTTACAGGATTAGGCCAGTAATTTCTTCTAACAACCGGTTCTCCGAACTGCTTAGAATGTTAACAACCGTTCTAGCGAATAGGTGCAAACTGGTAGAATCCCACCCCTGGCTTTCAGTAGACAAAATAGATATATAAAACCTTCAAGGTCATTCTCTATGGCGCAGCAAGAATTGTAGCTGAAGGGTGATTTGTTCATGTGATTTATGATGTGAAAGAAAAGGGGTGGGTGTAGGTTGAGTCTTGTGAGAAGTCTGGGCGGAAACTTTATTTCTGGAATTCCACAGACGTGGTTGTATCGGAGTTACTGATTGGAACGGATTGAAGATTGAACGGATTGAAGATTGTCTCGGAGTTACTGATTGAAACCCTGACATTATTCCGAAGCTCAACTAAAGGGGCTGCTGATAACCCCAGGGATTTTTTTCCAGTGATGGAGAAAACCCAAGAATCAGCCAACACAGAAGGTGAGACAGAAGGAGCTTGGCGAGGGCCCTCTGGAGCATTAGCTGAATCCCTCAGCCCCCCCCCCCCCCCCCCTGGAGGAGATGATGAAAGCATTTAGAGATGCAGAGGAAAGACATGATTTAGGAGCCAGGCCAAGACGTTCCAACTCATTTGGAGTTGTCAAACGACATTAAACAGACTTCCTGGGGAAAAATCCTTTTCGAGACCTCTGCATACAGCAAAAGAGGCAGACTGGAGGGATGAGGCCCAAATTGGATTGGAACCCTCTCAAGATGACAACCCACAGATTTATTCTAGAAGCCAATCATTAGCAGAATTACAACAATTCCAGCAATTAAAAGTGGGAAGTTTTGTCTCAAAGCCACAAACTATCTGGCCAAGTTGGAGCCTGGCACAGCGCGTCTTCTCTTTCCCAAGTGTTATGAGGGAAGAGGAAATTACCCAGATGCCAGTTGGAGAGGCCCAGCATGAATAACCCACGGCGACAAGAGGTGCTGACTACCAGAGGTATGTTGCAAACCCCAAGTCCTGCTCCCCACTTTCCGGAAAGAAGGTTGCCCCCTGCAGAGAGTATCCCTCCAGGGTGGGGGTTTTATCCCGGCTGGGGTGGATTCAGTGCCAATGGACACCAGCGCCAACAAAGCCCTGGTCCAAAAGGGAGTCAGCAATCCCTGCCCCACAAGGGGATTTGCGCAGACAGCAGACAGTAGTCACTCCCCCTCCACCCAGGCAAAGAATGAGGCAATACCCACCTTCCTCATGGCAACCACCAATTCAACCCCCAATTGGAGCAACCCTGCAGAGGCTGTTAGGAATGTAAGTTACCTAACAGTTATTTGGGTTGGAAATACATAAACTAGGATAGACATTTTAATACTATGTCTTTAAGAGAATACTAAATCTGTAATTGGGTGTGGTTTCTCAAATGGCCATAAGATGGAGCCAGAAACCTGGGTTGTTTAGTCTCAGAAGAGAGTCTCAGTGAGTCTCTGTTTCCTTCTGTTGGAGAGAGTTGCCGTTCCTCCTAATGACTGTTACTGATCGTTGATGTAAGTCTGTTACTGAACTGTGTTTTGATACTGGACTTTGATATTTGGATTATCCCTGAACTGAACACTGACTGCCTTACCTGTGAATGACTTGGATTGCTTATCTTGGACTGTGCTTAAACGTTTTTGGGAAGTAAAAACCTACATTTACTGTACAGTGTATCTGTGTGCTGTGTGTGTGTTATTATTCACTTCTCTCACTTCGTCTCCCTGTATGCGCTCATTCTTCTAACAGGGAATTACCTCAACAGAGGTCCCTCTTCCAGAGCGACACACTGAGAGTTGGTGTGAATGCACAGTACTGTATACAGACAGCTGTTTACTGTTTAATTGTGGTTTACTATCCTGGTAAAGATGGCACAAGACACTTCAACAAGTCTATCACTGATAACCCGGTTGGATGGAACCAACTATGTTTCCTGGTCTATGAAGTGCAGTCTACTTCTGCGTAGAGAAGTTTTATGGAATGTAGTTCAGAATCCACCGGATGTAAATGCTTGTGATCCAGAAAATGAGGACGATGCCAAGAAGCTTGCTGACTTTAAACAGAACAACAAACGAACTCTTTGAATAATTTGACTAACACTGAGTGACCAGCAGCTAGTCCCTATTCGTGGAGAAGAGTCTGCTGCTAGGTGTTGGGAGAATTTGAAGAGGATTTATGTTTGTGACAGTGTAGGTGCACACATACATCTTACACGTAAACTGTTTGGAGCACGTCTTCTGAAAGGTGGACATATGTTAGCTCATTTAAACTTCATGAAAAGAACTTTTCAAGAGCTACATGAAAAAGAACTGATATTTTCAGAATTGCATCAAGTTTGCATCATTCTTTCCTCATTGGATGAAAGTTATGATGACTACGTATCTTCACTGGAAGTCCTGCCCAGAGATAAAATGACATTAACTGACATAACTGGAAGGTTGTTAGAAGAAGCAAGAAGACGGCTTGATAGGGTCCAACTGAGGAAGGAACAACCATAAGAAGATTTGTCTTCAACTGCCTATACTGTCAGAAAATGTTTTTCTTGTGGGGCTAGAGGACATATAGCTAGATTCTGTAAGAAGGGAAAAAGACAGAATACTGGTAATCACCAGAAGGCTAAGAAGAATGTTAGTTTAGCTACTAAAACTGTATCCTGCTAAGGATCAGGCTGCTTGGCAGAAAGCAATGGTTAAGAAACTAGAATAATTAAAAAAGAAAGTTGGAGGTATACGAAAATGTTAAGTTACCACCAGGTAAACATGCCATAGGATGTAAATGGATATATAAGCTAAAGACAGGTGTAGATGGGACTGTTACCCATAAAGCCAGGTTAGTAGCACAAGGGTTTAATCAGACAGCAAATGACTATGATGAGGTGTTTGCACCTAGTCTGAAGGCTACTACATTAAGGGCAGCATTAGTGTGGGCAGCTAAGGAGAAATACATTATAAATCATTTGGATATAGACAGCATATCTGCATGCACCATTGCAACACACTATTTATTTAAAG